GGCACGATGAGGCGATGAGGAGTAGTGAAGGACAGTGGAAGTGTCCACACCCTCTGGTTCCTGAGGGCTGGGTGTGGAAGTCTAACAGTGACTGGAGCAAAATTGGGCCTAGACGTTAGGAACCATATTAAGCATCGATTCCAAGGTGGAAAGTCCAAAACAGTATTTTCCAAAGGCAAAAAGGGAATAAAGAAGATTTTTCATGGGAATTAGTCAGAAGTGATTAGTCATCAAATCTATCCAAACATATACCCTCAATTGATGCCTTGAAGCCTGAGGTGCCTTCTGCCCTCATAAACTTGCTGGTCTTACCCCTAGGCAAGGGAAAGCCCATTCAGGCAGAATGCAGTAATGGCCCCTGTTTGCAAGAGAATCTCATATAAATAGATGCTCAACAAATAACTTGTTGAAAAATACATAAATGAGTGATTTAATAAAGCAGTGAATAAATGAGTGCCCAGTTGTGATTCTCAAGATCTGAACTTTACACTTATTTTAATCTCCTAATATATGGGTTATCTTGAGCTAATCCCTGAACCTTATTTTTTAAAAAGTCAAACAAATAAATTACCCATCAGTAAAGTACCTGCCAACTATGAAAGAGAGCCTTTAGGAGAAGCAAATAAAAGTTTGACTATAAAATACTAAGTCTGAATCGGTACACAAATGAAAGACACTGTATTTATTACTTGAAATTCATTAGAAAAAAAAAATTAAAGTGCTGGGTCAAGGAAAGATAAAGATTTGGGAGAAAAATCATGGTTTTAGTAATAATCCCTTTCAGGAAGAAAAAAGTAATGGGAATTAATTATAGCTAATGAAGAATCCATAAATATGTTCTATGTTATGAATATGAGAATATTTAATAATGCAAAAAGAAAAAATAGTAAGACAAAACACACTTGTACATTTCGTTTCTGTATTTTTCTTTGCTTTTTCCTCTGTAAAGTAAGTTAAGCATAAAATAATACTGTGGTAAATTGCCTTATCTCAAAAAGTATAATATAAAATATAATAAAATAATATATACCAAATGATCTCTCATGGTTACATTATACTTCTCATATTTAATTTATATTTCCCCCACAACTTACCCTTTTTCAGCCTTTACCATTTATAATTTATCATATTTCTAATGAATTGAATCTCCTCAGTTATACATGGTTTCCAGAAATGCTTGGTAACTATCCTGTTGTTTGCTGCAGAAGTGGTTTTTGAAAAACAGTCAGAGATTCCTAAACATGCTTCTAATAAGTGCCTTGCACCCTCAGAGATGTCTCCTGAGCTGTTGTCCAAGTTAACACTGAGGAAGAAGATTTAATGATCTGTCCCTTGAGATTTTTCTGTTGGTTCCCAAGAATGAAGAAAGTCCACAATAATCCCTTTATTAAATGCTTGTGGCATGCTTTGTCACTACTGATGTGTTAAAGACAATTTTCCACAATTTATATTTTCTTCTATCTGCAACAATTCTCATAAGAAAAAGAGAAGGGTTTTGTTGTGCATCTTATCAAATTGGAAATAGACAGTTGCTATTGATAGTTACATAAACATATACAATCCAAATATGTCCCCTCCACCGTTTAAATACACTAGATTTCATTTTTTTTTTTAGGGAAGATAATCCTGGTACCAAACTGTGTAATGTTAGGGCCCTACATGTACTACAAATATTTCAATTTGTCGTAATATCTCATTTCCTAAAATTGTTTAATCTCCATGATATATGCGATTTTCACTTTTGTATCCAAACCAATGTTCTCAGTATTAGATTGTAAGGATGTGAAAGATAAGAATTTCTGTCAACAAAGCCATATATAAAATCCGGCCGATCATGAAAATAGAAGTGATTCATCAGTGCTTCAGCGTAATGCTGTGGCTGTCAGGAGGTTTGGGACTGAGTCACAGTCTCTTGCACAAGCATGCTATGTGGCATTGGACAAGTCCCCTCTTCAACTAAGCTTCTAGATCATGAAATGAAAGTCTGTGAACTTTCTGTGAATATCACTTATGAATCTATGAGTTGCTCACTGAGAAAGACATGAATCATGTCCATTAGATTTATTTGGTTGCAAACAAAAGAAACTGACCAGCTACCTTGCAGAGAAATGGAATTCATCAGAAGGCTATTGTGCAGACCACCAAAGCTAGGAGACAAGTAGGAAATAAAGAGCAATCTCTTCAGGGAGCCAATGTTTGTTTGTTTATTTGTTTGTTCCTCTTTGTAACATTTACCTCAAAATTCATTTTGCAGGAAGAAGGAGTTCCATGGGTCTAACTTAGCTCATCATTGGCTAGAGGATGTCAGCCCCTTGATTTAAAGTTTTCCCAAACTGACTCATAATGGCAAAGAGTATTTATGCCAAAGAAAAGGGATCCATTATTAATTAGCTTAGATTAGGTTATCTAGAAATTGGATGATCTCAAGTTGAATTCAGAAGAAAAGAGTGGATTCTAAAAAGCAAAGGAAACAGAAGCCTACAACATTCAGTTGGTCATCTAGTATGTCATAGTATTAGACTTTTTTTATGTGGGCATGTTTTTGTGGAATTTAGGATTAATATTACAAATGCAATTCTTTTTCAAGGAGTGGAAAATAACAACACTGATCAAGAGAAATGGCGATTCCACAAAAATTAGGTTCAAGTATGCCCTTGGGTTGAGAGATTTGCCCTGAAGTACTTCTCCTTCTCCAAATCACCTCTAACTTCTACCACCAGAGAACCACTTCTTGGGGATAAGTTTTGCCTCTCTTTTATTCATGTGTTAGTTGAGTTGTTCATTCACTTGGTTGCTTGTGACACACAAGCACTCCTGATAGATACAGCCTTTCATATCAGGAAGGCATCATTGTGAAGTGCTATTTGAATGTCCTGCTTATGCACAGAAGGCAGCACGGATAGCTGACATGTGGCGAAGTCAGAAACCAACCAGACGAGAGGCACAGAGAAAGAACACACTGGCTGCCTGAGGCCCACTCCCCTGGAAGCATGAGCTCTCTGGCTTTCTCCTCCAACAGTCGCTCCTAAAATCTCTAGTGGTTGATTAAACTGAAAAACCATTTTTAGGTTTATTTGACAGAAAAGCTATGGCCCTTGATTTTTATACAAAATCTTCCCCCAAATTATCCAAATCTCTAGTTTGTTTTTGCTTGAAATACAGACCAAAGACTGCAAAGAGCTAGTTAACCAAGACCGGTTATATATATTGGCCACTTCAATGGTGAGCTTTCCCACCTCTCAGTTATGTCAGTGCCTCTTTAATCCCACTTCAAATTATTGATTTTATAAAAAAAAATAAATAAAGTCAATCAGAATACTCTCTTTTGAATATACTGCAATACCATCTATAGCTTTAATAAAACATCTCAGTAACGATTTCTAAAATTTTCACCTATATCTGTCACCTACCTCAAGTTCCACTGCTTTGCAGTACATTATAAAACACAACTTAACATTATGGAATAGCCTGAATTTCTTATGGCAAAATTTTCTTTGGGTCACTGAATTTAATTGAAAGATTATAATAAGCTTACACAAACACACAGAGCATGCTACGACTGTCTTGATAATGTTTAAACACCTTCTTAAGAGCGAACAAAATAGGCAACCCTTTATTTATTTGCATGATATTTTTTAAAGTCTGGTTCAACTGATTACTTAGCATTATTCTGTCAGAGTGGTGATAAATATTTTGCCTTTTTAAGTATCCATAATCCATAATAAAAATGAAAATACTGTAACAGAAAAATATGAAAAGAAACTCTAAATAATGTTCCTCAAAGGTAGAATAAAAATATCTGGGTATGTGTCGTTTGAAAGTTTCGTCTGACAGTCATAACATGCATGGTTCAGATCGTGATAGGAAAACATACAGTGGAACCAAAGTGAAATTTCAGTTTTAAAACCAAAGCGAAAAAAAAAGAAAAGAAGCATGAAGCAACAGTTGTAAAATTACAAGTGATTTAAATGTAACTTTTAACTTGGAATGGGCGTGTGGCTATTTACTGATGGAACATTCCAAACTGAATTGTCCCGGAGCTGAGTGACAGTGCTGTTACCTATCCTGGTTTTCTTCCATCTGTCTCTCACTGTCTAGATTTTGATTTCAGACTTGTCGGATTTTCTCTTTCTGAGCAGTGCACGTTTTTGACAGTAGAGGGCACTTTGAATTTAGACAAAGCCCAAGGAATCCCTGAACCTTCATTCAGAGAGCTTTTGTTTGACTATAAAGAAATAAAACGCAATTTTAGTGTACATTTTAAATGAGAATTTTTTTTACCTATGTGGTGCAAAAGTTTGTTTTTATTATGTGAAATCTCCTTCTCATTTTATGTTATTTTATAAAAATACTGAAATATAAATTTCATGCAATATCACTGTGTCTAGAAAAGATCAGTGACACAATAATATAACAAGCAAATCAGGATCAATCTATGAATGAAGAAATCATTGATTTTTCTCTATTTAAAAGAGCCACTGAAGAACAAACTCCCATGTACACATTAAGGGACACATCAAAAAAATACATCAAAATCACACTATAAAATTACAGAATGTCCAAATGAAATCAGTCATAAAAATTCTGTTTGCTCAGCTCACCATAGAAATATTAACATTTCATCTTTCTTTCTCTTTTGAAAGCTACTTAAAGAATATTCTTAATGGAATGTTAGTTTTCATGTAACCTCACATATCATTTTTGTAAAAAAATTCCTTCAATTTCACATGGAAAAATAGTATTCTGATAGTCATTTCTCTTAGTTGTCCTTAAGAAAATTCTTTTCAGGTATTTGTAAAATGCTACATCATGTTGTTGAAATTTATGTAAAATAATTTATCAAAAGGTAGTATAATTGTTTTTCTAATACAAATGAATATTTTGATCACCTTCATTTATGTGACAAATGCGATCTTATTTTTAATTATTCCACTCCATTTCAAAGAAACAAAAAATAAAATGTAATGCATTTAAAAAATTTCAAAATAAACAATTATCACCTGTATATACTTTTGTCACCACATCAAATAATTACATCTTCTAATTAAAGGCCCGAAGTTCTTTCACTCCTAAAAAAAAAAAAAAAAATTCATTTCTCCATTTAGTTGAAACCAATTACCACAAGTGTACAAGTTGAAATTTGAAGTTTGGCTTATTTGTTTTTTCCAAATGGAAATGCACCTACTTGAGACTAATTGTGAGGCTGGTAGTTTCCAGACTATGGAGAAATCCCCAGTTCTGCCCTTAAGGAGCTTCTACTTAAAAACACAAAATAAATTTCTTTAATTTTCCATCAAGTGAACGATGTGCCTGAAATCTTCAATGGGTAACTGCTCAAGTGTATAAAGAAATACATTATTCCGTGGCTGAGTTAAAGTTCATATATGCGAAACATTTTAAACTTTTAGGCAGCATTTAATGATTATATGGGGTAGGCTTAATGAAGGCAAACAGATTGGCTATAAATGCCAAAAAAATGTACAATTTGTTTTGCTTGAGTGTTTAATAGAAGACAGAAATCCATACTAAAAAAGGTTTATTGATTTTTTTTTTAGTTTATCTAGATAAAGAAAATAAACTGGAATGTTTCCACTCCCCCTGACTCCCCAAAATATGAGAAAGAACAATATAACGATGTGTCTCACATATAACCTTGGCCTGTGTAATTTTCACAAATGAAAAGCAAATAAACAGCAATTGTCACTACTCTAAATGCACTGCAGCGCTCCGTGGTATTTATCTTCACTCCGTCCCTCATTTATTATTGCCGGTAAACTATGTATTTGCCACTAACACTGTCTGAATAGATTTGAAACAGTAAGTGTAACGGGCTCAAATGGACAGTGCCTATTATCTCTTCCTTTTTCTCTCCTGCCCTTTTATGGCCTATAACTTCATTCAATCTGTAGCTACATTTATGTTCATTTTACAGCAAAAAGGGTCATAATGCTGTCTCCGATAATACTGGAATTGCCTAATTTGTTCATCTTCTTTCCGCGCCTTGGAGCTGGTCACCTGCTCCAGTTATGCTGGGTTTATCCCCACCAACTTTGAAAATGAAGGTCCTGTTTGGCCCCTGGCAACCTCAGCAAAGAACTGCCTTAGGGTTTGAGGAGCCAGCGGGGAGGCGGGCGCGGGCGCGGCCCAGGCCGCACTGGCTCCGCGAAGTCCTGAAGCCGCAGGGACCCCTACTAGAACAAATCCGGGTGTCCTTCCCGCGCAGCGCGGAGAAAGAAAACCAGCTCCGCCGGTCCCCAAGCCAGGGAGGGAGCAGCCGGTCAGCTGACGCTGAGAAGGCGCGAGTGAAGGAATGAGAGGAATGTGCTGGCTCAGAAGATGGGAGCGATAGGGACCCCCCAGCCCGAGCCCCGGTGCGGGCGGCGCGGGCGAGAAGCCGGGCCTCCCCCCAGCTGTTGCCACTCGGGCTGTCGCCGCGCCGCCGGGACGGTGATGGCCGGTGCTGGGCCGGCCACGGCAGCTGTTTCTGCCTTGACCCTTCTGCTGTCTTCCTTGATTTCAGCATCAGCTTCCCTACCCCCTCATCTCACACCCCCCGCTTTTTTTCTGTCTTTTTTTTTTTTCCCCTCCTGGCAGTACCTCTTGTAAAAAGCAGAAAATAGCCTCCACATTTGCCAGAGAGCGAGGGCGCGGGGAAAGGAGGCTAGGGTGGGGTGGTTCAGGCTTCTAACAAAGCTTGGTTCCTGGGGCCCCTCCTGTCTTTTTCTCCCCGCTCTGGTTAGCATTTTCCTTCATGCTGCAGCAATGCTTTGTCAGCCCTGGGCTGGGAACGAACTCCCCGCACAGTCTCCTCCTCCTCTCTGACTTTCAAGGATGCTTCACCCCTCACCCCTCCAACAAGGAGAAAAATACCAAAGGTATAAAAGGGAAGTAAATTCTCCAAGATAACTTCGACTTTTGCAATCCAGATTTTACTGGGATTCGTTCAAGAGAACACGGATCTTTTCAAGTCTTGGGACAATAAAATAAAATTCAAATGCATGAATGTGGCAAGTTGGGGAGCAATTAACTGCTAATTTGGAAGAGCACTTCTTGAGGATTTTCCTGACCTGCCCATTCATGTTACTTCCCTTTCTAAGATCCTCTTCCCCTTTCAAGGCTAAAAGCTGGGTATGATTCAGCTCATAAAAATATGTCACAGCAATTGGAATTTACCCTTTGACCTTCTACTCCCTCACCACCACCTCGCCTACACACACACACACACACACACACACACACACACACACACAAGCTGCAATTCACTAGCTGGCTCTGTTTTCACTAAACAGATGGCTGTGTCGCTGGTGAAAACTGCCTTTTTGCACAAGATAAAACTTCTAAGATCCTATGATAGGACCTATTTGCAAAAAGAGCTCAAAGCCACATTTTCTGTACTGCATACGTAAATTCCGAGGTAGTTTGGGAATAGAGAGGTAGATAGATATAAATAGATTTTATATGCATAGGCACAAAAAGAAAACTGTCAGTAAATAGCAGTCTTTCTCTTAACACCATTCTTTATGAAATTTTTTTTTTAAAGGCCATCATGGGTGATCACATCCAGCATTTAACATTAGAAAGCATAGTTCTTTCAGGGATTCTAGTAACTAGATTAAAACATACAGGAAAGGGACAGAAAGCTGAGTCTAAAACATATGAGGAGAGTTTTTCAGTTTTTCTAAAAAACCTGTCCACCTTTCCAAATAATTTTTCCTTGCCTTTGTGCAGTGAAAGCCCCACTACCAGCTATGAAAAAATAGTGCTAAGTGTTTTGTACAATTTCTTTGTGTGTGTGTGTGAAGCTAGAACAGCCAAGGAAATGGGCAAAATACTGAATCAGGCCACCCGGGCCAGTTCAAATGCACAGAGAGACATTTTTACTGCATTATTTGAACTATTACTAAATAAAATGCTTTCTTCCTCAGAGCTTGGCTAAGTACTAATTTTCCAAAACATGAATACGACTTCTGGTGAAAAGTTAGAAATAATTTAAATGCATGACTACACCATTGTACCCTCTCAAATTAACAATGTTCCCTTGGCCCTATGCTGCATACTAAGAATGGTGCTGACTCTCAAATCACATTTGGAGAGCCTAAGATGTCCAGGAAGCTTTGAATCCAGAGGTTTGAGAACAATACTGGATGAGTTCAAATACTGTTTTCTCCATGAACACAGGGACCAAAAAAATGATAAATTGAAACAATTTCTGGCAATTCATTATCAGATGCCTAAGTAATGACTCACTGACCAGTTAAAAAAGAAATTGCTAGACAGGAATTAAGTAGTTTTTCACATTAATATAATTGTACTCTTCTTCTTGAGACAGTGATTACTCTCCTCTATGTTTGCACAACATGCTGCAAACACTGACATGGTTGAACTCAGAGCACAGGACTTAAAGTAAGAATAACTATGCATCACAAATTACATAAGGTCTTGTCTAAGGAAATTTTTTCCCAGATCTGGAGAAAAACTTCAAATTTATTTACATTCGGTAATGAGATTTCTGGTCCGCACGCCATCAAAGATGGTAATTTAACAACATTCGGTACTTAGGTAACAACAATTTTTCTCTTTTGTTGCTAACTTAGTGGTGGTCTGCCATATTTACTGAAATTTGGTCACCAACTGCTGGTTAGAAATATTTTTCATGGAATTCTTTGTACTTTAAATCAACTATTACTTCAAAATCTGTTATGTGCCCCACATTCATCTTTAAGACACAGAGTTTCATGTACCTTGCTGTGAGCTTTGACTCTGAAATAGACATCTCATATATGCAATTTCTAGCAATATTTGAAGTTGATGCAGGTTTATTAGTGCCCTTCAGCAAATTAAAGCAGAAATGTGTATTTTGAAGGCTTGTTCTACAATTCATCTTATACAAAAACTAAAGTTCATTTTGAAAAATTGAGCCTCTATTCATTTTCTGCTCTTTTTACCCAGTATTAAAAGGTCTCTATGGGGTTTCACATAATGAACATCACAGAGGGGGGAAAAATTGTTGTTTCCTTTGGCATTTCTCATCTTAAGGTGGTAGAAAAATACGCATCTGCTTTTCCCGTGGAGAGGGAGATAATATGATAACCTTCTGATTATATACATAAGCAGAAACTGATCAGCTTCTCTTGTGGTTCGTTTTTAAGGGCAAGTTCCAGTTGGATTGTGCTAATGCACATATTCATGAATCTCTCCAAACAGGATTCACAGCTCTCCAGGGGACCCTTGAAGTATGCATCATTGTTTCAATGAAGTATCTTCATTATAAAACATAGGGACTATAAAAGGTGAATACCATTTGCCTCAGCCTAATATAATCTCTGGTCTGACTTTCTTCCACTGTGATTTCTTTCTTCCTCTCTCTTTCTTTCTCTTTCTTTCTTTCCCAAATAGAAAAAAAAAAAAAAAAGACAAAGAATCAAATTAGGTATTACACAAAATTGGGGGAAAATGTTTTTGCTTTCAAAGTCAAACTTAATCTCCTATGCAATGTTACATAGGTAAGGATAAGAAACTTTACTCCAAAATCCAAAACTCTTTTTATTTGTACAAATGTTTTATTTGATAAAATGCAGCTTATGGAAATGTTTGGTCTCTGGGTATGCATAAGTTTCTTGCATTGAAAAAGCAAGGCCAAAGGTGGAAGGCATAAAAAATAAGTAGGTAAACACCAATAAAGCAGGCCAAGAAGAGAGGCGCTACCATCAGAACAATGTGATGAAAACAGACACACAAATTCTTCATCTCATTGGCACTATTGCAAAGGAAAAAAGATCTTGAACCGATCAGTCTTTTATTTATATTTGCACCAAGTACGTATTCTAACATTCCCCTTTCTTTTCTTTAGAGTTCTTCCAGAGAACCTGAGATTTGAGGGAGTTCTACTAATGTGCATGTTACAAAGAGGCCTTTATTAGAGAGGGCATGAATGGAGTTCTGAGTGAGGCTACAAAAGCCCTACACTGCTCTCGGGTATAATGGGGTGCTTTATAGGGAAAGAACACTGTCTTTGGGGTATGAAGGACATCTTAATACAACATCTATTGCAGGGGAACAAAGGAGTTATGTAGCTCACAAATTAGGGTATTCACATCCAGATATATTAGAGGTGAAGTTTAGAGAACTTGGAATTCAGTTTAAAATGATCTTGTTATCCAACACAGCACACTGTGGAATGTGGCATTCCTTGGATGTAAGTTGTATAGTCATCAGCATAGATTGTACAAGTCACAAATAACCGACACTCTGTGACTCTATAGCAATTAGCTCCCAAAGATAGTAATTCTTAGTGGCACTAAAAATAAGATGAGACATCTATAATTAAGCAGGAAATGACAAAAGCAATTCAAGATGCTATATAGTCCAATTGTTTTAAGTCTCGCAGTGGAAATTAATTGAGGAAAATATTTTTTAAGAGGCATAAAGGGCATAGCGTATACAACATAGAACCCATGATTTATTGTTATAGTGTAAATCACCATTTCAGATGGACAGTGAAATTCCAAATCTCCACTGTGTGAGATGCCATGAGGTAGAGGAAAGGAATAGGAATTGGCCAGACTCAAGAACACAGCACCATGCTATAGGAGCTTTGTGTCTAGTGAACAGGCCAACAGGCAAACTACAGTGATATAGTTCCTTCTCACCATTGAAATTAGTTCTATGTTGCTAATTCCGCTTACTTCCAATCCTTGATTTACTCTGACAGTTGCCAACAATGAGACTGTTGACCACACACTCCTATTCCCTGGGCATCCCCACATTTAACCTTCATAAATTTGCCCCACCTTCTAACCATTCTTTTTTTTTATCATATTTCGTGGACGGCTTTGCTTGAACCCACTCCTTTAATGGACGTATTCTTCTTAGTTCTATTCTCAAATCTTTGTTCTTTTCATTCTAAACATTCTAAACCTTCTTATAGTCTCAACTATTCTCATAGCTCTTATTACCTATACAATGATGAGCCTGACTCTGCACGAGCCTTGATGTCTCCTCTGAGCCCACACTCATGAAACCCACTCTCTCCTGAAAAACCACCCGGATCCCCAACAAGAACCCTGAATACAGTGTGTCCAAAGGTGAATTCATATTATCTTCCCGTAACTTCCACATTCAACCTATTCTCTGTCTCCTGTGATTCTTTATTTTAGAATGGCATCATCATCCCTTGTTTAAGTCAAAAAGCTATGAATCATTCTTCTTGTCT